TAAATAAAAATCTACGAATACATTCCATGAATATTTTGTCAAGAGCCAATGGCCCGTAGTCATAGTCAAAATAAAGTCGACTTTAAAGTTAGTTGCAGCTTTTTTGACAGATATCCCATTGAAAATTATGTCAAAAAGCTGCAACTAACTTTAAAGTCGACTTTATTTTGACTACGACTACGGGCCATTATTAAATTTAGACATAACTTTGTCAGGCGTTGGTACCTACGTATATAGAATTAATGCGTTGGAGAGAGATAAATATACAAGTTCAACGCGCTAATTTAGGTATCCTTGTATGTGTATACCTGTTACTCGTCTGGCATATACTCCAACTGCGAAAATAATGACAATTATAATTTATGTAGATCCCTGGATACAAGATTGTCACAAGTTACTTTCGGTAACTCACGATTGAAGTTTGGAATGCAATTTCTCAGAAACACGACTACAGATTTTCTCCAAAGTGTCGGAGAATGCTATGTACTAGTTCATGAAATTCTTAAATTATCTTATTTTTTTTAGTTTAGTGTCAACCATTTATGAGTTTAATAAAATTTTGTCGTATACGACATTTGTCAAAAAATTTGCAGTCAGTTTTAGTGATATACGCCAAAATGTGATAAAAATTTTTATAAATTAACCATACTTTTTACTAATCAGCCTAATCGTGAGTTTCGCCCGAATAAAATTTCGCCAACAATTTGTTCATCCACCTGTAGTGAACACACGCAAACGAAAAGTGACCCGGTTCTAGAAAATGAAACTCATGATAAAGCTGAATATGTCGGAAACTAAAGAAGAACAGATAACTCTATTTGAAAGATCTTGATTAGTTTAGTACGACAGCAATACTAACGCAATTTGTACCAAATAACCGAAAAAATTTTAGTCAATTAGTCGGAAACTAAAGAAGATATCCAAAAACCACACATTGTCAAAATGACGCTTCCGGCAATTTTCCATCCAGGCGACGATATTTGAATAGGTTTGTAAAATTACCAATAGTCAGTACTAATTTGTACTGGAACCTGCAACTTTTACTGGAAAAGTGTATGATAACCCAAAAAATTTGCAAGAGAGCACTGAATCGAGAGCGTAACAACACGAGAGAGCTGCAAATTCTTGCTAGTGAAATTTTTACTAGCAGAAATTAGCTAGCAGAAGAAGAAGAAGAATAAATGTCAAAAGAATATATAAAAAGTGGTGTTACTAGCTAGTTGATTTTGTGTATGTGTTTCGCCGCACGGCTTCTGATATCAAATTGAAAAATTTTGTTTGAATTTCTACTCACACTTACAGGTTTTGACAGTTTATGCCGCCAAAGCAAAAACAAAATACATGTAAATTTTTGTTTTTGTACTCCTGCTATCACCTTATATTGATTCGCCTTGGCACAAACAAAAGTAAAGTGAGTGGAAATCATAATATTAATGATGTACTGGACAGTGTAAGTGCTTGTGCGTAAAGCAAAGAGTTTAAAACTGATTTATAAATAGTAAAATGTTTACAGCAGATTGTCAAAGCAGTGCAACAACTGTTCTCTTGCAAGTATTTGCTAGTTTTGTGTTCAATAACCTCTTCTGCTAGTTTTCTCTTCTTCTCAATTTTACGCTCTCGCTGCAATGTTTTACTGGAGAAGTTACTATACAAACCTAATGTTACTCGCATATTTTCGAGCCTGTATGTAAATTTTCGGGAAACAGGTTAAAAAGTATATTCATCTGCTGAAAAGATATTTTCGCAGATTCACAATTTATTTAAAATAAATCTATCAGCCCTATCTCCAATTCCATGTGAATAAATCTCTCCAGTGCTTAAATAATTTTCACCACATTAAATAGCTGCACAACACCCTAATTGCCGAAAAAGCGTTGCTTGCAACACTAGTCCTTTATGGGGACCAAACTTGGTAAAAAAAAATAGCTAAGTTTGTTTACTGGATATACTGAGCCCATATGATCTTTGTTATTTTGAAAATTGTAGGTATTCTGCATTTATGCCAAAGTCCGTTGGTTCCGTCGATGCAAGGGTTGCCAATCTGGCTCTCTCTTTGCAAATGCACACAGTCTACCGCTCTGTCAGTTGCCTTCTTGACGGTAACCAGAGTATTGTTACGATTATAGGGCTTTCGCACGAGCGCGATTTTTCAGGCAACTTTTAGTTGAAAGAAAAAATCGCCTCGTCCGAACGGCCTTTCAACTAATCGCTTTCAACAAAGTTGGTCGCCAGCCAACTTTGAGCTCCTTCAACTTTTTTTCCTTGCAACCCTGTGTTTGTTTACATTCTGTATCAGTGTTGGGAAATGAAATTGTGCCTTCAGTACGAAATCTATACAAAAAATGTACTTTTCGGCTATAAATTGTATACACTTTTTAATTCGCTCATATATTTTCTTAGTACATTCCCTTCAAGACCAATGATTTTATGGTATTCATGAGACAGTTTTATTGTTTATGTACATACGTTTACGTATTTTACACTTTTACAAATTGATTCCACGTGCACATGTATGCACACATTTTCAGGTATACATCTTAACAAAAGCATATTTAAGTTATTATTAATGGATAAAAGAGACATTCTCTTTGGATTCAGTACTAAAATTTGACATTTTAATAGCATTTCAAGTGCTTATCAAAACTTTACGAGAAGATTTGACCATTTATCTTAATATTATTCAATTTTAATAATTTTTTGTAAAAATACGGTTTATAATTTAAGAAAATCCGTACAAATCGAAGGTTCAAACTTTGTGCAACATTAAAAAAACCAACACACTTTCGTAAAAATTTCGAGCTTTTTAATTCGATTTCCTAGATTTATTTTGAGTGTGCGGGTTAGCCCATTAAATTTTAATGTAACTAAGTTTTTTAAGATTTATTTGATGAAGGTGTTGCTAAGTTTCTCCATATAAAAAAATCGTCGAACACACTTCGTATGGAAGAAAATGGCTGACATCGTCGACAAAAAAATTGCCAAGTTCAACGGTAAGTCCCAGCTACTTTAAACTTGCACTTTATTATACTAAAATTGAATGGGCTAAAAACTAAAGAATATTAATAAAGCTCGACATTTTTACGAAAGTATGTTGGTTTTTGGATGTTTCGCAAAGATTTAATCTTGGGTTTATACAGTTTTTCTTAAAGAATACATTATATTTTATAAACAGATAATTAAAATTAAAGAATAATAAAATAAATAGTAAAACCTTGTCAATATGTGAGTGCCGTAAAGTTATTATATTTAAGAAAATATCTTCTTATAACTAACGAAGGCTTTGTTTCTATATGAAGGTGACTTCGACATTTTGTTTTAATAAAACTTAGTATCGAAAAGTTTCTTTAAAAATTTGCCCAGGCTATATTATACTGGTTTGTCCAAGCCATTTTTCAAAACTTACAAAGGTAAATATATTTTTAGTATTCAATACAAAATTTTACCAAAAAGTACTGCGTAGTAGGAAAGTATATTGTAAATGAAATTGTATCAACCAAGTACAATTGTACCAAAAATGCCAACACTGTTCTGTATACATACTTATTTTTCTTTTTTACTTTTTTACTCTTATTTTATCTTTCAGCTTCGCTAAAAGCACTTCTACCAACGCTTGGCTTACCAAGCTTACTCCAATTGATAAAATTTTGCGATTTAAATTCATTTTCAATAATGTAAATAACGATTCGTGTTGAATCGAAAATCGCCTCGTCTCATTCAACTTCGTATTCAACTTTTGTTGCCTGTAAAATCGCCGCCTGCGAATGCCCTATTATCCATGAAACCTCGAGGGGTTTCCCAAATATCTCGGGCTCGTATCGCTGGATTGTTAAATAAATGCTCACGATGACCAAATTGTAGTACAATTAACTTTATTGTACAACAAACAATTTACAATACTCGCTAATACAGTAAAAACACTTTACAATACTTGTTAAAGCAATAACAACGCTTAACTTAACTTGTTAACACAATTAAATTTATATCTTGCTTATTCGCAACTCACTTCTCTGCTCACTTGTAGCTTGCTGTCTTGTAACTCACTCAACTCCGCTGTGTTCTGGCTCTTATATACCTGCGCTCGCTCTCATGGCAACTCTAGAACGTTCTAAAGTTCATCGCTCATTCTCTTTCTCTCGCTGTTCGCAGTGTTCATCCAACTTGACGTTTCTCTTAGTGGAACATTCTACGTCATTCCTCGAACATTCAGCCTATTTCTCGTTGTTCGCTTCGCGTTGCCGCAGTATTCGCCACAGTATATACCGTAACGTACGCAAATAGCGATTCTGGCCACACCAGCAACCAGTTATCAATGCGTGCTCATTTAATGCATATATTAACGTGAATTTAACATTAGCAAACATGAACCAATTAGAACAGATCTGACCAATTGAGAAGCAGCCATTTGTAATAGCAATTGAGAAAAAACTGTATGACGTTCGTAATTTTGAAGCTTGCTATTTCTGTTTTGCTTCTTTCTTTATGTGTTATTTGTCGGTGGTTTATTTCAGTGATTTTTAAGCGATGTTCAATAAATTTTTTGTGTAAATGTAATTAAAATGAAGTGCGCGGTGATTGATGGCAAAAACACGTACAAAATAATAGTTTGGTTAGCACAAACATGTGCTGCAAAATTGCTTGAATTTTTTCTTTGTGCTTCGTCTTTATATTCTTTGTTTACTTTTCATAGAAAATAACATGGCGCCGAAATTACAAACGTCAGCCAGAAAATTACTTTTTTCTTTTGCTTCATCTTGTCAGATCTTGTGTAGTTGGATCATGATTAGCAAAGTGACCTATATAAAACCGGTTCACAAATAACTTTTGAACGGTTAGTAAAATAAACTTCGGAAGGACCATAAACCACTCTGTTACCAATATTGTATTTAAAAAACTCGCTGTACGAAGATTATTGTACTATCTGTACGTAGAGATGAATGTCAAATTAAAACAATCGATAGTGATAAAAATGAAATGTATTTATTATCGAAAGTGCAGTCGACTATACTGCAACACTACTCTACGCTTGCTTTTACACTGCGGGCGATAATTTAATTTGAAGTTTGTTGTATGTAAATATGGGAGATTTGCTGTTAATTTTGCAGACAATTAATCATCGAATGTGAATTATGTTATTGTGTCAATAGATATTTGAAGTGCAGCTTTGTTTTATATAGAATGAAAATTTCAACGAAGTGATGGCAATGGGATAAAATAAACTTTAATATCCATACATATATGTACATATGTTCTTGTCATCAAAACCAAGTGAAGTTCCTATTTAAATGCCCTGTTAATGATATATTTCCCATAATTCAGACTGAATAAAATGCAATTCAACGTAACTTGAAGAAGTTTAAATTTCCGATGCAGAAAATATATTGGATATTCATACCTGTTAATGACATATTTCCCATAATTCAGACTGAATAAAATGCAATTCAACGTAACTTGAAGTTTAAATTTCCGATGCAGAAAATATATTGGATATTCATACTTACATACGCATGTGAATAAGGAAGATAAGCCAATATAAAGGCATCAGATTTCAATATTTGCTTCAGTAGGTAAGTCTGTGAAAAACTACTTGTTTCTAATTGTTATTGTTTATCAATGATGCTTGGCATAGTGAAAAGCGATGCACTTCTCAAATTGAATCATTTGTAAGTGGACAAATTTAAAAGTATTCTGAAGAAAAAAAAACAACATTCTAGTTAGAGTTAATAAGACAATTGTCTTATTAGCTGGACAAGTGCACGTACCAAGCGTTTTACGAGAATCGAAGAGGTAAAAAACGCTGATTTTTCCTATTCAAGTAGAATTTTATTATGTAGTAGGTACCTAAATACATATCGTGGGTGGGCTTTCCAATAAGGGCAGTTGTTTTGGGGGTATTTCTCTAGTATAGGGTAACAACCACTAAAAAAGGTCAGGAAAAGTCGGGAGCGGTACCAAACGACGCGTTTCGGCCCCCCTATTAACAATCGGGAGGGGAGGGCTAATATTAACCATTTAAAAGTTATAAACAAAAAAGCTTTTGTTAAATTTTGTTGTTTTCTATGAGCAATTACCACGTCAAAAATGCACTAAATCACCAGTTTAAAACACTATTAACCGGTTGTTGTTTTATGCAAACAAAATCATTTATTCGCTTTTATTTTATATATTTCGTTAATAAAACAGAGTAAACAAACTGCGCCTGCCAAAATTATTATAACTTCAAATCGCTGGTATTGCCACTTTATTTCACATTTCATTTGCGCTATTATACTAAGACTTTTCATAAAGCGTCGTCCATCCTCTTTTGTTTAAATTTGGTTTGGGAGGCCACGCCCCCTTTCCCTCGTCCCCGACCCAAAATCGTTGCACAAATAAGCAAAGATTTCCCGTTGTTTTTGCAGGACGGAAAATAACCATTTTGTTTAATTTTAACCAAAAAAGTCAACAAGTTGTAGTCATCGTAAAACAATTTTGTTTATACCCACGTATTTGTTTTGTTTTGTTGTTGTTGTTGTTGTTGTTGTAGCGGCTACAGCAACCCCGCCCAGATCGGCTGATATCTCAGTCGTTGTCGTCGAGTTCCACTAACGTGCAGCCTCTATGGGGTCAGTCCATAAGGACGACGCCGTTAGGGTTGTGGGGTTTTCCGGGCATGCGAAGAGATGTTTCGAGTCGTGAGGGGTTGTTGTTGTTGTAGCGGCTACAACAACCCCGCCCAGATCGGTTGGTATCTCAGTCGTTGTCGTCAAGTTCCACTAACGGCAACCCTAGGAAGCGTGCAGCTTCTGCGGGGTTTGCCCATAAGGACAAGGTCGTTAGGGATGTCGGGTTTGCCGGGCATGCGAAGAGATGTTTCGAGTCATGTGGGGTCTCTCCGCATGCCGGACATTCATTAGGCACATCCTCATTCAGCCTACTCAGGTAGGAGTTTAACCTGCTGCAGTAGCCGGAGCGAAGTTGTGCAAGTGTGGTGCGCGTCTCCCGAGGCAGATGAAGCTCCGTCTCGTCAATGTCCGGGGGTGGTGTGCCTAGAACGGCATTCACAGGTCTAGAGTCTACATAACTCGAGACTGAGTCCCTGTGAATGCCGTTCAAGGCCTGTCTGTAGGCTGTCGGGTCCAGAGGTTGCTTAATGAACCTCTGGACTTCGTCCGTTAGTTCATATAGATGCCTCCTGACGTGCCTAGGCGAGGGCTCCTCTGCAAGCAGCTGTCTGCACGGGTGGCCACTTCTGTGGGTCCCAATCAGGAACTGCTTGCAGAGCATTATATTGTGCTCCTTCACCGGGAGCATTTGCGCCTCGCCGTGCAGGTGGTGTTCAGGCGTCATCAGGAGGCATCCCGTCGCTGTCCTCAGTGCGGTGTTTTGTGCGGTCTGTAGCTTCGTCCACTGCGTCCTACTAGTCCCAGGCGACCACACTGGCGCTGCGTAGTTCAGAACCGTCCGGCCTATTGCCTTGTATGTTGCCAGCAACGTTTCTTTGTCTTTGCCCCAAGTACTGCCGGCTAGCGACTTGAGGACCTTGTTGCGGCTCTGTACTTTATTGACAATAGCGGTTGAGTGCGCAGAGAAGGAGAGCAGGCTGTCGAAAGTTACTCCGAGTATTTTGGGGTTATTCACCGTCGGAATTGGTGTGTCATCGACGTGAATCCCCAGCGGTAGCCTGACCTCCTTCGTCCAGGTTGTGAACAGGGTCGCGGAGGATTTCGTAGGGGAGAGGGCTAGACACTTTGCAGTGAAGAAGCGAGAAAGTTCGGAGAGATAGTCGTTTACTTTCGAACACAGGTCATCAATTCCATTCCCAGTCGCCATAATCGAGCAATCGTCGGCATAGGAGACAATCGAGACTCCCTCTGGTGGTTGAGGGAGCTTTGAAATATAAAAGTTAAACAGTAGCGGGGAAAGGACACCACCCTGAGGAACCCCCTGTTTTATTTTTCGCTGCTTACTCGTTTTGTCTCTGAACATTACCGACGAATGTCCACTTAGATAATTTGCCGACCACCGTTTGAGCCTCTGTGGGAGAGAGGAGGCCTCTATATCTTCTAGTAGCGTGGAATGGCAGACGGTGTCAAACGCCTTTGACAAGTCCAACGCTACTAGAATCGTTCTCTCACAGGGACGGTTACGGTTAAGGCCACGAGTTATCTGAGTGTTTATGGCGTTAAGTGCTGTTGTTGTGCTGTGCACTTTACGGAAACCATGCTGATGCTTCGCTGGGGTCAGGTGATTTGTGAAGTACGGGAGTAGCAAGGCCTCGAGTGTCTTCGCTACCGGGGAAAGGAGTGTAATCGGACGATACGAATCTCCTTTGTTTGCAGGTTTCCCCGGTTTGAGCAGTGGGACCACTCTCCCCACCTTCCAGATGTCTGGGATGATGAGAGTGGCCATTGACAAATTGAGGACCTCCGTTAGGTACGCTACCCCCGCAGGACCCAAATTTTTCAGCATCAGCATGCATATACCGTCGGGACCCATGGCTTTGGAGGCTTTCGCCTTCCCGATGGCCACCTGAACTTCACCGCAAGTGAAAGCAAGGGGGGCACAATTTGTTGGCAGTTTGTGCAGCCTTCTGGTCACTCGACGCTTGGCTTTGTCCACCGGAGGATGCAGTATGAACTGCCGGCTAAAATAGCTCGCGCATCGCTCCGGGTCCGACGAAGCATAGTCGCCGAAGGAAATTTCGACTCTGTCGTCGTGCTTCGTCGGATTAGACAATGACCTCACGGTTGACCAAAGCTTGCTCACACCAGAGGTGAAGTTGCAAGTCTTCAGATGCTCCTCCCACTTCTTCCGCTTATGTACGTTTACAAGTTGCCGAATCTCCGCGTTGAGATCCCTGATACGGGGATCTCCGGGATCGGCCTGACGAAGGCTATCACGCTCGTTTGCTAAAACAGCCGCTTCGGCAGGGAAGTTTGGACGTGGGTCCGATATGCACCCTGCCGGTATGAAGCGGGCTGCAGCAGCAGTGATAGCCCTGCGGAACTTACGTTCACCGAGGTGGACGTCGGTTGGTGTGGGGAGCGATGTGAAGGTGTTTTCAGTCGTGAGGGGTCTCTCCGCATGCCGGACATTCGTTCGGCACATCCGCATTTAACCTACACAGGTAGGAATTCAGCCTGCTGCAGGAGCCAGAGCGAAGTTGGGCTATTGTCGTTCTGGTCTCCCGAGGCAGATAGAGCCCCGTCATGTCAATGTCCGGTGTTTGTGTGCCTAGAACGGCATTCACAGGTCTTGAGTCTACATAACTCGAGACTGCGTCCCTGTGAATGCCGTTCAGGGCCTGTCTATGAGCTGACGGGTCCAGAGGTTGCTTAATGAACCTCTGGACTTCGTCCGTCAGTTCATATAGATGCCTCCTGACGTGCCTCGGCGAGGGCTCCTCTGCAAGCAGCTGTCTATTTGGGCGGCCACATCTGTGGCTCCCAACAAGAAACTGCTTGCAGAGCATCGTGTTGTGCTCCCTAATTGAGAGCATTTTTGCCTCATCGTGGAGGTGGTGTTCTGGTGACATCAGGAGGCATCCTGTCGCTGTCCTGAGTGCTGTATTTTGATAATTTGCCGACCACCGTTTGAGCCTCTGTGAGAGAGAGGAAGCCTCTATATCTTCTAGTAGCGTGGAATGGCTGACGGTGTCAAAAGCCTTTGACAGGTCCAACGCTACTAGAATCGTTCTCTCACAGGGACGTTTACAGTTAAGGCCACGAGTTATCTGAGTGTTTATGGCGATAAGTGCTGTTGTTGTACTGTGCACTTTACGGAAGCCATGCTGATGCTTCGCTGGGGTCAAGTGGTTGGTGAAGAACAGGAGTAGCAAGGCCTTGAGTGTATTCGCTACCAGGGAAAGGAGTGTTATCGGACTATAAGAATCTCCTATGTTGGCGGGTTTCCCCGGTTTGAGCAGTGGGACCACTCTCCCCATCTTCCAGATGTCTGGGATGATGAGAGTGGCCATGGACAAATGGAGGACCTCCGTTTGGTACGCTACCCCCGCAGGACCTACATTTTTCAGCATCAGCATACATATTCCGTCGGGACCCATGGTTTTGGAGGCTTTCGCCTTCCCGATGGCCACCTGAACTTCACCGCAAGTGAAAGCAAGGGGGGCACAAGTTGTTGGCAGTTTGTGCAGCCTTCTGGTCACTCGACGCTTGGCTTTGTCCACCGGAGGATGCAGTATGAACTGCCGGCTAAAATAGCTCGCGCATCGTTCCGGGTCCGACGAAGCATGGTCGCCGAAAGAAATTTCGACTCTGTCGTCGTGCTTCGTCGGATTGGACAGTGACCTCACGGTTGACCAAAGCTTACTCACACCAGAGGTGAAGTTACAGGTCTTCAGATGCTCCTCCCACTTCTTCCGCTTATGTACGTTTACTAGTTGCCGAATCTCCGCGTTGAGATCCCTAATACGGGGATATCCGGGATCGCCCTGTCGAAGGCTGTCGCGCTCATCGGCTAGAACAGCCGCTTCGGCAGGGATGTTTGGACGTGGGTCCGTTATACATCCTGCCGGTATGAAGCGAGCTGCAGCAGCAGTAACAGCCCTGCGGAACTTACGTTCACC